CCCTGGGCAACATCCTTGCAGATGGCTAATTCTCTTACACCAGAAGCGACTTGCAGTTTCTCAAGTCGCTCCTGACACGGGGAAAAAACAACCCTCAGTACTGTCTTGGAGTCCACAAAATTATGGCAACACTAAAAGTTTTTTTAATGTAACTTATCACCTCATCAGATGGACTACTTTCCCTGCCGTACACTGCTTGCTCTCCCCTTTCAGGATGGAGCCCATTACATGACACACATGTACTTCTCGCCAGTCTCCGTCCAGAAATGGGAGAGCAAGCGACCTATGCTGTCATTGTGGCAACACAGGAATCTTCCCATGTTGCCTTCAGGACAATGAGGGGAAGCCAGAGGGCAATGTATCCCCCCCATGGGATGGAGGTTGAGGTAAGTCATACAATGCGGGGCATGGAGAGACAGGTTCTCCATGTCTCCCATGGGGACCCCATGAATTCGCCATGATGTGTGGCAAATCCATGGGCCTTTGTGGTGAGGTCCCTAGTGGCTGTTAAGGCATCTACACAATCTGTTGTGCAGTTTTTTACAGTGGACTCTGCAGAAGATTATTCCACTGTACTTCATAAAAAGGAAACTCCCATCTGTTTAGTAAATTTTGCAAATGCTGGTTTGTTACCAGCAAACGTTGGGTTCTTATAACTATTTTATATACCTATATATCTGGGGTCACCTAAACATTTCTTGGGCCAAAAGGTGTTCAATTTGAAAAGTTTTAGAAGACCTAGTTTGAGGCAAGAAAATAGTTTTATGAGAATTATTCTTTTTTGAAAAGGTAGAGTATAAATAACGGAGGAAGGAAGGGGAGAAGAAGAGGATGATGATGGTTGGAATCCTGCTGGGCATTTACAAATGCATAACCTAGGCCCTATCTACACTGACCATTTAATGCAGTTTCACACCTGTGTTGAAGAAAGTGGTTCCACTGTGCAAATAATGACATAGGAAATCCAGGAACCAGTTTGAAGCCCAGATGGTGATTAACAACCACAGAGCACTGATGCAGATTAAGGGCTTTCTTTTGTGCAGTTTTGTGGGCCCTTGCTGCAGTTTGAAGCTAGCTTTGAACTGCCTTAATAGTGTTGATGGGGCCCTAGAGTTATACATTCATTACTGTTTTGTATTGCTGACACCTAAACAGCCATTAGTTTAGGGGGTACATAGGGACTGTGAAAGTCCTCCATTTCCTACTTGCTAGGCAAAGCCATGATGATCAATAAATATCTGTTCTCTTGCAAATTGGGGAGCAGCTGGCTGATGCTCCCATTCCCCATGGATAAGTGATCTCCAATGTGAGGGATTCTGTTTCTGTCTTTTTCACCTGAGATCACACATGGGATATGGAAGGAACATTCGTCAGCTGCTTCCCAATTAACAGGGGAACAGGCCCCTATTGATTCCTGTTGCTGCTGCTGCCTGTCAAGTACGAATTGGGAACAGGACAAGATTAATTGCATAACACCATGACTATAGTGTTTTTGTAAATCTTCAACAGGATTCTGGTTGAGGAGGAGGAGGCAGCGGAAATCGGTCATTGGGAAAATACTGTTGATCTGTTATAGCCCCTGATGGCGCAGTGGGTTAAATCGCTGAGCTGCTGAACTTGCTGATTGAAAGGTCACAGGTTCGAATCTGGGGAGCGGTGTGAGCTCCCGCTGTTAGCTTCTTCCATGCAAATGTGAGTAGACTAATAGGTACCGCTCCGGCGGGAAGATAATGTAGTCATGCTGACCACATGACCTTGGATGTGTCTACGGGTGATGCCGGCTTTGGATTCTTTCTTCTTAAAGCTAATTGCATCTGCATACTGCAGAGACAAAGGCAAGTTGGCTGTGCCATTGACAGCTGAAGATTACTCTATAACAGAAACCTATTGAATTCATCAACCTGTTCCAGGTATGTTGAAGAACTGAACATTGTGCATATTGCAATACCAACACCTCATTCACTATCAATTATATAGCATATTGGCATTTTGAAATAGTCCAAGTGTAATAACACACACACACACACACCCCAAGGACAAAATGCTTGCTGCCATGTGGTACAAGCTAGAAATGTACGGATATGAGAAAAAATAGTTCTAATACCACAGGAAGGCATTCTTAATGACATGTAGAATGGCATCAACATAAAATAAAAAGTCAAGGAAAACTACTAAGAGGTGAAACTTTACACTTCATTCTGTGTTGATATGGTACTTAGCTGCCTATTGAAAAATGATAGGAAAACAAGACATTCTGGAAAACATGTTTTAAGGAGGAAAGAGAATTAGTAATCTGTCTCTGCTTCAAAATGCAAACTGTTGTGAAGGTTTATCTATCTTGAGGTGATATAATTCAATATATTATACTATTAGATGCAGGGATATGTACCCAAGATTGTGTATCCAATCAAGGCACTTTGAAAGGTATGCAAATTTTCAGAGAGGAAAGTTCTGGGAGGATCAGTTGGCCGGCTCTATTCTTTGTTGTTCCATGGGTCTCACTTCAAGCTCAGGGATCTGTGGGAATTCCCTACCCGCTGTGCACAAGAGTTCTTGGCCTCTGCCCTGGTTGTGACCTTCAGTTTGTTAGCTTCCTAATGCTAAAAGGGAGTAAGAGATTAAATTAGACAGAAAAAGAGATGCAAGGAATTCCTAGTAGGCAACCTTGAGAGCAGAAAGAAAGGTCCATGAGCTTTCCATGAGCCTGTTCCTCTGCTATTTGTAAAAGCGTAATTGTTTTTCTGTCTCTATACAACAAACAATATTATGCTGTACTTCATTAACGACTGCACAATTCCATGCTACTAGGCACAACAGTGCTTTGAGGTGGTACTTGAGAAGCAGGTGGTACTTGAGAAGACTAGTCTTGGACAGATTCCCCCACCCCACCCCACCCCCTTTCAGACTGATGTATGTACACCTATACAAACAGCTACCTTTCAACCATATTTGTCAAACTCAAGGCCTGTGGTTTGGATCCGACCTGCCATGCCATTTTATGTGGCTTTTTAGATGCTGGACTAAAATTCTAGACATCATGACTAGAATTGATGGGAGTTGTGATACAGTAACATCTGGAAGACTCCAAGTTGTTGTCTTCAGGCAGGATAATAAGGTTTTAATTTAGATACAAGGCTTGTAGATATGTCAAGTTAAAATGTCATTTCACCTTTCCCAAATCTCAGAACCACAAGTGCTGCTGAGTTGCAGTTTCCATCATGCCCAGTCTGCAAGGTAGAGAATCAAAAGTGATGGGAGATGCCATTCAGCTACATCTGGGGACCCACGCTGGGGAAAAACTAGGGAGCCCCCACTACTCTATAAACAAATCATAGTTGACTCTCTGTATCCACAGATTCTCTCTCCATGGGTTCAACAGCCCTTTGAAGGCAACCATAAAGTTACCCCTCAGTAAAAATGAGTTTGACACCCTTCCTTTAAACTAGAGCCACTATTTCTGCCTAAGAAATTAATAAGGATTATGGATATATTTTTCAGTGTTATGCATGGATATTTGCTTGGGAATATCCACTGTTTCCTCTACTTCCTAAAATGTGTTAGCTCCATAAAGTTAATATGAAAATTGAAAGTTTTTAAAAGTCCGTGTTCCTGAGATGAGTATTACAGTTGGGACATCACTACTGAAAAAGCCCTTGTTCTGTCTCAGAGAAATTAATTTTTCAGCCCACAACTCATGCTGTTTGAGTGTTCTGAGGGCTGTAGTCCATAAACCAGAATACTTGGAAATAATCTGGACGTTTGTCCAGAAAAATGCACAGGGAATGGTTAATAGCCACTGATACCGTTCTCTGGTATATCTTAGTATGTTCTGCACAGGCCCTGGGATAGTTCTTATTGCCAGACCTTGGGCCACTGCAGAAGTAGGACACCAAACCTGGTTTGTCACTGCTGCAAGGCCACCCTTAACTTCCCCCAGCTGTGTATCCTGCTGCTGGTCCTTGGAATGGCTGCTGGTCCTCCCTCCATGACAGGCAGTGTAGTTTAACATGTCTTTAGCCTTCTCTGGCAAATAGTTTGAGTGCCTTACTGAACTAAAACTCCCACAATTCCATAGCATTGAGCCATGGTATCAAATTGCATTAATTCTACAGTGTAGTAGTATCAAATTGCATTAATTCTACAGTGTGGATGCACCTTAATTTGACCAATAACTAGATTTAACTCCTTTTTTTCAAAAAAAGAAAATAGCTGGCCCTTCAGCCAGTTTGGCAATGGAGAGAAATGGAGAAGATGATGCTTCCTATATGCCTACAGATTTAGTCTTAGCGTACGAAGTGGAAAAATGTAAAAGTTGCCAACTACTCTTACAGGGTACAACCACTTGCGCACTGTTCAGGTGTCACAGTATCATGTTGCAGGTCGATCTCCATGCTACAGTTACTCTGTGAATTGAGATCTTGAGTGACATCACACTATGGCCCCTTGTACCATGTACCATGACTCTAATATTGACCAATCGCAGCATGGTGCTTGTTAATTACTGAACCCAGAGTCCCTATTTAGAAGACAACCATTAGATTCAATATATTATACTTTTTATTCCATAACTATTCTATGTTCATGATTTGCTGATGCTTTGGATAACTTAGCACTAACATGAATGATTCTCTAGATCAGATCCTCATTCTGTTATGATTATTGCTCACTTATGCATAACTATACCAGGCCATTGTAATTATTCTCCTCCTAAACAACTTTGTTATCTTGTGGGAAGGTCTGAAGAGTGAGAGCTTTTGATTTCCCACATCGAAAAGTGAGATATTGGCAAAAATAGAAACAAAACCTAGACTACTAACCCAACTAGCCCAGGTGTACCTCAACTGACTTCACCCTATTGTTTGTTTCTCCCTGGGAATTGGTGCCAATTGCATAGGGAGTCATGTAGCATCTACTGAGTGCTCCCATTTTGTGTCTCCTCCCCAACAAAAGATTTCTGCCAAGCAAAGCTTTGTAGAAAGGCTGGACATCTGTCGCTCTTTGCCTCTTTGCAAGCAGTGTGTGTATGTGGCTGTGATCTGGCCATTAGAAAAAAATCGTGACCTGTCAGCTTTGATTGATGGCCACAAACCTCTGGTCTCTGAACCCCTCCTGTGGGAAAAAGGGCCAGCCAAGCAATGCCCTCATTCACATGCTAATACCCAGACTATAAATGCAAGCGGACCACTGCGCTCATGTAAGAGAAAGCCCAAGAAGGCAAGGAGAGCAGCCAGGCAGCAGAAGGGCTTCTCCCTTGTTTTCGCCTCCTCTAAGCTTTCCTTAGGGCAGGTGCAGTGGATTACAATGACTGCAACAACCCTGGCCAGTGGGGTGCCAAAACTTCCCACTCCCAAAGAGGAAAGGAAGGTAAGTGACATTTCATAAATGGTTTACTATTAAGCAGTCACTGGCTGTGTCTATTCTGAGGGTTTAAGCATAGGCTATGTGTTTGCAGTTTTTATGTCTGGTTGGTTGCTGTGTCTTTCTTTGTTTTAAGAGTCTCTCTGCTGTGGCACCTGTCTTTGGTCTATAAGCACTGAAAAGAAATAAGCTTATGGCCACTTGCAGGAGAGGAAACCAGAATAAAAAGTTTAACATGGGCACAAGCCTTGACTGTGTGTGTGTTAATCTATACAGAGTTTGGAAATGTTACGTTCTGGAATTACAAATGTCAGTATTCTACCAGACAGAGCTAGAGGGTATCTTGGCTTGGGAAACATGGGGGCCACAGTCCACAATATAACATTTCCATGCTTTAAAATGCACATGCATTATATAATATAGCTGGATGTTTCCTAATCCAGAAACTCGCGTGGAATCCTATGGAAAGTCAAGTCTATGTAAATTAAACTATACTTACAGCACATCTAGATAATTTTAAAATTAAAGAACTACTCTTTATAGGAATGAATAGATAGTGGAGCCCCCGGTGGTGCAGCAGGTTAAACCACTGAGCTGTTGAACTTGCTGACCAAAAGGTCGCAGTTCAAATCCAGGGGGTGAGGTGAGCTCCTGCTGTTAGTCCCAGCTTCTGCCAAACTAGCAATTCGAAAACATGCAAATGTGAGTAGATCAATAGGTACTGCTTCGGTGGGAAGGTAACGGTGCTCCATGCAGTCATGCCAGCCACATGACCTTGGAGGTGTCTACGGACAACACAGTTTCTTCGGCTTAGAAATTGAGATGAGCACCAACCCCCAGAGTTGGACATAACTGAACTTAATGTCAAGGGGAATGGGATCAGGATTGTTTAAATAGTCTCTTAGTGTTGTGTCAATCTGCAGTGAGCTCTTACTCTGGAGAGGAATATACACTCAGTTTATTGTTGCTTTCTTGGTAACTAGATTGTTAGATACAACATATTCTGAAATGCTCATAAAAACTTACTTGAAAGCAATCTCCCAACGATGTTAGCTATCGTTCATTGGTTTAGGCTATCAGTTTGACTTCTCTGGATGTGGATAAGAGCAAACTAGATGAAGAGGAAACATAACGAGAGTATCACAATTACAATGTTTAAATGTTGGTCTTTGAGTATTCCGCCAGGCCTTGGAGTGTGTTATTGATTGGTTAATTAATTGCACTTATCCTTATTTATTAATTTGTCATTCTTATCCTGATCTCCCACTGTGTGCTCAAGGTAGTTTACATGGTTCCCCTCCTCCTTATTTTTACCTTTGTAACAACTCTATTGGGGTAGATCAGACAGAGGCCTCATGACTGGGTTGAAATGAGCCAATTTGTGGCTCAGTGGAAACTTGAACGTGGATCTCCCAAGTTCTGGTGCAACAGAAGTCCTATTGCTCATGAATAATTTGCTGAGAAATTAAATAAAAAACTATCTGCTTTTTAGAATTAAAACTTGTATTATTTCATAGTGAACATTTATGGTTCACAGAACTGACCAACAACTTCAGCCAAACATGTGGTTTAGAGACATAAACCAGACTTCTAACTTTTGTCTCATTTATCTTTTTAGTTAAGAAAACCTTTGATTGAAAGGAAGCGAAGGGAGAGGATTAACAATTGCTTGGACCAGCTGAAGGAAACAGTTGTTGGGGCCTTTCATCTTGATGTAAGCAACTTTTTTTTTTAAAAAAAAAAATCACTTCTCCTTTCTCCCTAGCCACAGAATTATGCTTCTGGTTCCTTGTTATCAATTCACTTTCTCGTTTTAATATAGCAATCTAAACTGGAGAAGGCAGATATCCTTGAAATGACAGTAAAGCATCTCCAGAACATCCAAACCAGCAAAAACGTGGGTAAGTATATTTCTGACTTTCCATGATTTAATGCAGTCATTCCAAAGGTTCACCAACCTTGTAGTACATAATGTAAAATTATAGCCTAAGTGTACAAGTCAGAAGAATACCCATTATCGTGAGAAAGCATCTAGTGAATAAAATTCTTAGATTTGGGGTTGACGTCTGGATGTTTTCCACATGATGAAGACACAGACATATTTAGGCAGTGTTACATAGTGGTTTGAGCACTGAAGTAGGACTCTAGGAATTCAAGATTTAAATCCTTGCTCAGCCACTAGGTGACCTTTGGCAAACTCAAGGCTCCATCTTCATTGCCATATAATGCAATTTTCATAATATCATATGGTCAGTGTATACTCCTATAATGAAGTTTAATGACCACATGTTGTGGATTTTAAACTGCATTATATGGCAGTGTAGATGAATCTATCTCTCTCAGCCTAAAAAGAGAGCAATGACAATTGTCCTCTCATTTAATATTGGTACAAAAACCCTACAATAAAAAACTATCTGTTTTTAGAATTCAAACTTGTATCATTTTGCAGTGAAAATTTATGGTTAGCTGAACTGACCAACAACTTCAGCAAAACATGTATGTGGTTGAGATACATAAACTAGACTTCAAAAGTTGTCATAATCCAGGGTTGCTTTGAAGGCACATTACAATAGATACGAGACTGTGGTCTAATGTAAAATAAACCACCTGTATCTCATGTTTGATCAGCCCACACACTGCTTTGGCAGAGAAAGAAAATATGCCATCATATTTTACAGTAAAGAGCAAGTAGTTTACTCTTCATAGTTCAGAACAACTTATGTACAATGTGATCAGTTGCATCAACTCACATAATGTCCTTTTATGAGAGATTTAAAATGGTTTTTCTTTGTCCATGTGGATAAACTCCTTTAGTAGTTCATGAAGCAAGAGTATACTCCAAACTCTGTCTCTCTCTGCTTCTCTCTTCTTCTCCCTCTGCACTTGCATAGCTCAAGCCTGAACAAAAATGTAACAGTAACCAAAAATCCCAGGCTCAGACTGCTCTCCAGGCATTGCCTGTCCAATCAGCTTCATGCATCATATTTTACAGTTGATACACACACACACACACACACACACTGATTCCTTGCATGCTCCATCAAAGACACATTAAATATTGAAGAAATCTTGTTATATATCTAAGATATATGTAATATATCTATCTGTCTGTCTATCTATCTATCTATCTATCTATCTATCTATCTATCTATCTATCTATCTATCTAATAAATAAAATCTCTTCTGTTCTCACCCAGCAGATTCTACAACGGGCCTGGAAGCTCAGCAAAAATATAGTACTGGATATATCCAGTGTATGCATGAAGTTCACAACCTTCTCCTGACGTGTGAATGGATGGACAAGACCCTTGGAGCACGGTTACTGAATCACCTGCTGAAATCCTTGCCAAGATCTAGTGAGGAAACCTCCAAGGCTGATGTGACCCCTTCCACTGCTAGGAGTGCCAAGGGGATGGCAACAGAGCTGAACCCATCTCAGGATCAGTTTTACTCCACTGAAGACAGACAGGGGTTTAAAAAGCCATTCCAGCCCCACATTGTAGGCACACACTGTAACCAGCGCAAAACACCACCTCCCAGTCAGACCTTGCAACCGCATTTTGCATACAGCATGGGGTCATTAGACATGTGGAGACCATGGTAAAAATGTCTTGGGAAAAACCTAATTTCTAATTTTAGACCTTCTGATATATGTATCTTATAGATATATCTCTTTAAAACACTTTTTGGAGCAGGTCTGCTCCTGTAGGTGTACTAAAGACCAGGGTACTTCAAGCCGAAGTTAACCTCTTCGTAGCCTGCATTGTAGAAGGCTGCTATTATTTATTTAATACATCTAAATTATTATATAGAATCTTATCTTGGGCCCTTCTTAGAATATCTGACTTATATAATGCTCCTTTCCACAGCTATTAAAATAATTAACAATTGATTAATAAAAAAAATAGGAACAGTGATGAAAGACTCTCATTAAATCTAGGATTATGCAGCTATTTTTCTCAACTACTTCTTAGATGTCCAAGTCTTTTTACCAGGTCAGGCCTAAATAACCTAAAAACACCAGATCCTATCTGATATTAGAGGCTAAGCAGATTCAGCCCTTATTAGTGCTTGGATGGGAGGCCACCAAGGAATATCAGATGCTTTAGACTATATTTCAGATGACAGAACTGCCCGAGCTTCCTTTGAGTATTCCTCGCCTGAGAAAACCCTACAAAATTCATGGGGTTGCCATAAATGAATAGGCAGCGTGCTCTTTCTGTTTCTCTCTCTCTCTCTCTCTCTCTCTCTCTCTCACACACACACACACACACACACACACAGAGTCATATTCAAACTGTCTAATGCAGTGGTTCTCAACCTGTGGGTCCCCAGATGTTTTGGCCTTCAACTCCCAGAAATCCTAACAGCTGGCAAACTGTCTGGGATTTCTGGGAGTTGTAGGCCAAAATACCTGGAGACCCATAGGTTGAGAGCCACTCGTCTAATGTATATGTCACCAATAAGTGAAACAACAAGAACTCATGATATATGATTCTGCTGATAATCAGATCTTGGGCTTTCAGGATATGGGTGAAGACTTGGTGAAGGCTTAATGATGAATGAACTGAAAATAACTAATATTATTTTCAGTGTAATAATAAAGTATTATTATTATACAGTTCATCTGTGTTTACGTTTTATTATTTGATTATTATTTATTAGTAATGTATTTGTTTCAGTTATCCAGTAAATACAACAAACTTTTCATTTTTAAAGAAATGTAGATGTTTCTTTTCCTTATTTCACTACATTCCAATTTGTAGCCAGCCATTTGTTTAAATGAGACCAACAATTTACATTAAAAGCTGCAATTGATGTAAACTGGATACAAAAGGTTCAAGTGAGAAGCATGAAACTGGGACTTTTTGGAAATAATGGAAAAAGTGGGATGACAGGGGATTAATCGTGACTGTGTCACAGATAATCCTTTTTTAAGAATATAGATTAAGAACTCCTTCAGATTTCCTTCAGATTTTCTACTTTTGAATTTAGGGGCATGTATTTTAAAATATCAAAATCTGGTCTTTGACTAAAGTTCTTCAGTGCAGCTGATGGGTAACAAGAAGCACTGTTAAGGTATCACATTTTCAAACTGGAGTAAAACAGGACCCTCTTCTCTCAACCTTTGATGAACCTTTATGTCCAGAATAATCTTTATTGGCTTCAGCATCATCTACATTCCAGATGGAAAACAAATGAAAAAAATGTGGCTGGGGCTAAGATGGCAACTCTTAAAATGTCTCAATTTGATAGGAACAGTTCTTGTTAATCCGCTGCTGTCCTACTGTTTAAAATGTCCTAGTTTCTTTCTCCTCCTCCTATTTTTTCCCTTTGCCTTCATTTTATTACAAGTGCAGCAAAACTGAGTTAAAAGTGAAAAAAATAGTTTTGAACTGAGTTAACACCAAAGATGGGAGTGGAAAGGAGGAGCAGAATCTTGTCTTTCTGAACAGATTCAAGCAAAAGTATGCTGCTTCAGTCTCTTCTAGTTTGGGTATTTATAACTTTTGTCAAAATCTTATGTTTCTTGGTTCCTCCTGTCCCAGTGTTCATTTCTGAAGTGTTGGGTGATATATGATGGGCTTGCAGCAGTTTAGTTTTGCTTGAACCTTCTGAGGCCCCTTCTACACTGTCCTTATATCTCAGGATCTCATCTCGGGTTATCTGCTTTGAACAGGATTATATGAATCTCCACTGCCATGTAATCTGGTTTATGAAGACAATCTGGGATCAGATCCTGGGATATAAAGACAGTGTAGAAAGGACCTAAGAAAGGCAAGATTCTACCCCCTCTTCTTCCCTGTCCCAAGTACACTGGGTGCAAACTACTTTTCTACTTTGAATGCAGTTTGCTGCAACTGAAAAACAAAGGTAAAAAGTAGTAGAAGAAAGTTACTAAATTATTAAGTATGATTTTCTGTTGGTGAGCAGTTGGTGACTACTGGATGGCATGTTCTCCTTATCAGAAACCTGAGCTGATGTGGTCTATCCATTGCAATTTTCTGTGTCAGCACCACAAATAACCAAACCGAATCTATGGTTGACCAAAAACCGATTTGTAACTCTTTTGGTACTAATGTTGGAGAGTGGTCCCTGGTGAAAGTGGTCCCTGGTCAAAAAAAAAAGGTTAGGAACCACTGCTCAAGAGAGACTCATTGCACACTGACCTCCCTTGCTCTCTTGCTCAAATGTTCACATACATAAACTATATGCATCAAATCCAAGCAACTATCCTACACATGTACTAGCTTGTAACACTACCACACTGGCAGATATTTCTACCTCCCAGAGAGAAGACAACCACACACAGGGTTGGAAACTGTACAAGCAGTAAGAGTCAAAGGGGAGGAAGCAATGAGGACAAACCTATACCAAAAGCAGGTGAACTTTGCACAAAAAGAACAATGCCTTTGTGGACATCTACCAAAGTAATCTTCCAACATACAGAGATGGAGGAAACCAATAGCCCACCTATAAGCAGGTATTAATTGGGCAACAAAATGAAACTCATCTAAAATATCCAAGCCAACTAGAGGACATGCAGATTTCATGATTTCCAATATAAACAACTGCAAGAAAGATACCAAATGGAAAAGAAGATGGGCATCAGCTGGAAAGATAATAAAATAGATAATATTTTTTCTAGTCTAAAAAAACAAATTGCAAACGTCTATAAAATATTATTAAAATTAGACACAGAAGTACATCTAAGCAAAGACTGTATGATTCAATGGTCACAGAATGTGGGGCATAATATCCACCTAGACAAATGGGAACAGATGTAGAAAACAAAGATTAAATTCACAAGATGTTAATGGGCTATGAGGAAATTACTTCAAAATAATATATAGATGGTACATGACACTGGAAAAAATTAATAAAGATGGAATCAAAGTTTGTTGGAAGTGTCACCAAAAAGAAGAAACTTTTACCATATAGAGTGGACATGTCCTAAAACAACAACAAAAAAGGATTATAATACATAAGACCATTTTAAACATCTTAAAAATTAAAGTGCCACTGGAGCCAGAAGCCTTTCTGTTGGAACTTACAAATTCAACACTACAAAAGATATTCTGATACTCTTTTTATACATGGTAACTGCAGCAAGGCCTATTTATGCTTTGCTGGAAACAAGAAGAAAGTCCCATCTAAGGTTTATGGATTACAAAACTTCTGGACTAGCAGAGATGAACGAACTGGCTTGGCTTAAACAGTCACCAGATCCTTCCAAATTTGAAGAAGCACGTTTGTTATTGTTTATTCATTTAGTCATTTCCGACTTTTCATGACCTCATGGACCAGCCCACGCCTGAGCTCCCTGTCAGCCGTGGCCTCCCCCAGCTCCTTCAAGGTCAAGCCAGTCACTTCAAGAATACCATCCATCCATCTTGCCTTAGTCGGCTCCTCTTCCTTTTTACTTCAATTTACCCCGGCATCATTATCTTTTCTAAGCTTTCCTGTCTTGTGGCCTTCATCTTTGCCTCTACTATCCTTCCCTCCAGTGAGTAGCCAGGCATTATTTCCTGGAGTATGAACTGGTTTGATCTTCTTGTGGTCCAAGGCACTCCCAGAATTTTCCTCCAACACCACAGTTCAAAAGCATCTATCTTCCTTTGCTCAGCCTTCCTAATGGTCCAGCTTTCGCATCCATAGGTTACTACGGGAATACCATTGCTTTGAGTATGAGGACCTTTGTTGCCAGTGTGATGTCTCTACTCTTCACTATTTTATCAAGATTGGCCATGGCTCTCCTTCCAAGGAGTAAATGTCTTCTGATTTCCTGGCTGCAGTCTGCATATGCAGCAATCTTTGTGTCTAGAAATACAAAGTCTGTCACTGCCTCCATGTTTTCTCCCTCTATTTGCCTGTTATCAATCAGCCTGGTTGCCATAATCTTGGGGGTTTTTTTTAAAAAAAAAATATTTAGCTGGAACCCAGCTTTTGAACTTTCTTCTTTCACCTTGATTATCAGGCTCCTCCGCTCCTCCTTGCTTTCAGTCATCAAAGTGGTATCATCTGCATACCCAATGTTGTTAATGTTTCATCCAACAATTTTGACTCTAGACTTGGATTCATCAAGCCCCACATGTCACATTATGTGTTCTGCATAGAAGTTGAATAGGTAGGGTGACAGTATACAGCCCTGCCGTACACCTTTCCCAATCTTGAAGTTCTGTGATCTGTTTTTACTGTTGCTACTTGGTCGTTACACAGAAGAAGAATGGCAGCCTTTTACTGACTATTTAAAAGAAGAAAAGAAAATGAAAATATTGGGGTTTTACAGCATTAAGGGAAAATTAGTAGTACAGTGATATAGAAATAACAAAAAAAGAAAAAATAGAGAAATTAGTGACAAGAATAACAAGATCCCCAATGATTTCCAAGGAAAGTTAATCTACCAGATATAAGAAGATTTAGGACAAAGAGGATTGATATTTTTGATTATGAATAAGATAGCAGAGACAGGGTAGGAAGCATTAGTTATGGTTTTCCAGTTTTCATTTCTCAACTTTTCTATATCCTTTGTTTCAAAACACTCTCTCTGGTTTAGATTAGAAAACAAATGTTCTCTTTTTTCTCTTTTCTTTTTAAACATCATAGAAATCTTTTTTTTTGTATTAGATAACAATGGAAGAAGATGAAGACGTAAAATGTTAAAAATGTCCCAGTTCTATGCACACCTTTGTACCCTTCCCCATTCCTCATATCTTTGCAATAAAAATTATATGAGAAAGAAAAGAACCAGTATATCAAAATAACAAGAAAAGAGATTCCAGCTAAGGAAGAACGTATTGAGTGTTGGAGCTATTCAATAGTGAAAAAGACTGCTTCAGTCAGGCCCGTAGCCAGGATTTCGTTTGGGGGGTGGGGGGTGGGGGGGGGCTGAATTTTTTTTCGGGAGGGGGGGGGCTGAGTTTGGGGGGGGGGGCTGAGTCTGAGTGAAAGAGGGTCTACCCTAGCAAACCTTTTGTATCATTACCCCAATACCCCCATGCATATGGGATATATTGAGTATGGTGATCAGATCATGATATGAATAAACATAACAGTTTAAATAATGCACCAGTAAGGCCTTTTCGCGAACCACCATGACAATTTCGGGGGGGGGGGCTGAAGCCCCCCAAGCCCCCCCCCCCCCCCCGGCTACACGCCTGGCTTCAGTGGTTGGTGAACTGTCTTTCTTTGGGAGTTTTTAACCAGAAATTGGTCAATCATCTTTTAGGAATGATTTTAGCTGTGTACTCCTTTATGGCAAGGGTCTGGACTAGAATGCCCTTGTGGGACCTTCACCTCTATGTCTTGCAAGAATTTCACATATGTGACTGGGAAGCCCTAAAGACCTAGTCTGTCAGAGGGCCCTTCCACACAGCTAAATAACCCAAAATATCAAGACAGATAATCCAAAATATTGGCTTTGCACTGAATTATCTGAGTCCACACTGCTATATAATCCACAAGTTCAATGCGGATTTTATACAGCTGTGTGGACAAGGCCTAAGGCCCCTTCCACACTGTCCCTATATTCTAGGATCTGATTGCAGATTGTCTTCTTATCCCAGATTATCTGGCAGTAGAGACTGATATAATTCAATTTAAAGCAGATCATCTGGGATCAGA